GGGAATAGACTGAGTTCTAATTCTATTTTAAGATGTCAAAGGACTGTAATTATGAGGTAGCTTGCTGACAAATGAAAGACCCACATCAAATAAACGATGAAATTTTCCCTTTCTCTTGATCCGAATACGCGCTCGAAAATACACGCTCGAAAATCAGTCCAACTGTCGTTATTTAATTTTAATCTTGATAATTGCTTAAATCTAGTTTAAAGTTTTACTAAAACAATCATTTACCCACTTTGTGACCATCCATGAAGAAGTGATACCATCAGGGATTTTTGGCTTTGTAATTTTCAGATGCACGTTGTCCAGTTCCTTTTAAACCTGTTGGCTGTTTTAAGGATAATCAGAAGAGGAATGCTCGACCACTCGATGAGCTGCTTCTTACATATCGCGATCCAAACAGTCCCAAATATAGCGGAACTAGAATCGACTGGGGAGAGTGGGACGATTACTTGAATGACTTAGTGTGTCGCTGTGCTGAGAAGGCAAAAGAAAAGAAATACTCTCACTTTGGGTTGCAGTATCACGGTAGGCGAACGCGTGCGACAGAACACGCGTGCTCTTTTTTATCAAGCCTTAATTTTGCTTGACAAGGCATAATAGCATAGGGTAAGGTCGCTGAAAAGTTCCCGCCCAGTTTGTAAACATGTTAGCTAATCACTCTGGATGGTTTTGTATGGTATATTTCAAACAGCATTACGTAAAAACTCAGGTATCATCTTAAATCTCTTAGTCCTGTTATGCTCTCTGTTTCACACAAAATATACGATCTGCTAAGGCTAGGACCAAAACTACTGGCTGCCCTTTGACTCAATGCAATTCTTGTTGTTCTTGAAGGTGAGTGTTGGTCGGGGCCTGAGGCAGGTGAAACGTTCAGCAAGAATGGACCTTCAGAGGCAGATAATTGCATTGGACGAGGATTCAAAACATGCAATCCCTTGGTTGATGACATCTGTGTGGGAAGAGAAAAGACCAACTTTGTTTTCTCACTTTATTAGTAAGAAAGAAATGATAATTTAAAAAAAAAAACCGCTGCGATCGACAGGCTAATCAAAGTCTCCCGGCTTAATTTTTGGGAAGTCACAACGATCCGATTTATCTGGCAAAGCAAAACCTTGCATCCGATAGCTTTCTTTTGACAAAGACAACTGGACTAAGATAAACTGCAGGTGATATGACTGACAATGGCGCATCTAAACCTTCACCAAGTATATAATGCCTTGAGATTGCAGTTTCAAAGCCTTTTTACCACTTAAACCCGCTGCTACCCCACAAAGCAAAATCTCCTGTTTGTCTTCGTGACTCAGTTAACTAATTATCACAGTTTCTGATGCTTAAAAGTATGTAAACCTTAGCAAAGTCAGATCAACAGCGGCGTAATATTTCCCCATTTTACGATATGAATAAAACACTATAATGGGAAAATAACGTAGCCGTCATGTTTAAACAGTTATTTTGTGGGCACCCTTTTTGGACCGTTTGCATTTCATAGTTTCAGCTTTGAACTGCATGATCCCTTTAATCGGGAATGCTTCAAGCAAATGACTCAAACTTCACTCTGCAACAATTTAAAAGTGCTCGCTCTTTTTGAAGCTCTTGAAATGCTTTATTTTTATGATGACTAAACAAATCAATGACCCTATGTTAGGTAATCCAGGACAGTATTGGATTCCGGATTCTACACTCGTGGATTGAGGATTTCAAGACGCAAAAGATTCCAGACTTTAGTTTCTAGTTTGCTCCTAATTCGACGACAACGCGATAATCGTGAAATGACACTTGAGTGAAATTGATTGATCGATAAAGATGGACATTAATTCAGTTTTCTGGGAGAAAACACGTCAGAAATCTCCTCACCAAGAAAATTTGAA